ACGCTATATGGCTACCCCTCACCTCAGGACAATGGGGAAGACCAAGGTGACCAGTAAAGAACCAATAAAGAAAGAGAGAGAAAATGGTGAACAACTCTTAAATTCAAACACGAGAAAAGAAAAATAACCACTGCCCAAGTAAGAATGACCCTTTAGGAAAGTGTTTCCTGTTTATCTATTACATATGGCCCTCCCGGCGGTAATCATGTTAACTCTTCTCAAAGAAATCGGGGTCCAGACCCCAAAAGGTGACGTTGATCCTGCAGAGCGCTGGCACTGGAAGGATCCTAAACCAGACTTCTCAGATAACAACACTCTGGACGTGGTGGCCTGACCTCATGCTTGACCTCTGCAGTTTGGCACATGGGAGCTGGGATGTGAGAGACCGGGATTCTGGGGATGGAAGGAAGACTTGAAGACCGAGGCTCTCACGGGTGCACCCTACCCCAGGCATTCTACCCTAATGAGCCTGGGTGTTCTCCCGTCCTTAGGAGACATATCCTACCCTGCAGAGATCCTTTTATGTATGCCCAGGGAGCAACCAGACTGCTTCCACTATTGCTATTAGAAACTGTGTGTGTGTGTGGGGGGGTGGCTACCGATTACTATTGTTCTTCCTGGGGATGTGAGCAGACTGGCTGGACATAATTAGAAAAGACAGAGACTGCATTACGTTATTCAGAAAAGTTTTTGGATTCCTTAGCAAGGGTAACCTTACAAAATAGGAGAGGCTTGGACTTGCCGTTTATGGAACAGGGAGCAATCTGCAGTGCACTTGGGAAAGAATGTTGTTTCTATACAGACCATTCTAGGATAGTTACAAGAACCCCAGATGAGTTAAGAAAAGATAATAATTCATTTAAGTCAAGAACCCCCATGAGACCTGGTTTAATTGGTCCCATGGCTTATCACACTCGTCCCTTCCCTAATTGGGCCAATGGCTATTTGTTTACTGATCTGTATTTTTGGCCCATGAGTCTTCCAAAGGCTGAAACAAGCATCTCAAAAAGATACAACAGGTACATGGCCCTTCGAACACATTATGATAAGACTCCATACATCTCATCCCTCGGATGAACTCTCAATTTGAGGGTGTCCAGGACGAAACTCCAGATGGGGTGGTCCTGACCTGTACTCTCTCCCCGGTGGGCAATTCTGGCTTGGTAACTGGGGTAGAGGATGGGATCTAAAACAAAAGAGGGAGATGATGTGCCAAAATTATCTCAGGGCCTGTACCTCAAGGCCTCTAGGACAGAAAAAAGCCTAGACTTTGAGGCATGAAAGGACAGAGAAAAGCCTGGCTCAAGTTTGAGTGAGGATGAGACAGCAAAAACTAGACAGACGCCCCTACAGCCAGAGGGAGGGTTTGGCTGCTTCTCACTGGCTGGAGGTACTCACAGTAATAAACTGAGTTCCTGCTTTAATTCAACTCCCTATCACATCTGACTGTCCTGTATTGGTGAAGCTGCTGAACAGGTGTCCTGTTGAATGGGCTGATAGCACTCACTTTTCCCTGGGGAATAAGGAGGCTCAGGAAGCCTAGCACTAATTAACAGTTTCTCAAATTGTGGTGACCCAGACTATAACATTATATTCATTGCTACTTCATAACTATAATTTTGCTACTGTAGTGAACTATAATGTAAAAATGTGTTTCCCAATGCTTTTAGGCGATCCCTATAAAAAGGCCTTTCTACCCACAAAGGAGCTGCAATCCACAGGTTGAAAACCACTGTACTAAAGGAATACTATGCACAGATGAAGAAAGATTAACAAGTACAAGAGCTATAAGAAGTAATAACAAACTAAAGAATCTACTAGACAAACCTAGAGCCAATATTGGTTGTGAGCCTAGCCTTTAACAGTTGAGTCATTAGAGGTATGATCTCCAAAATATACAAGGACTCAAGAAATTGGTCATCAAAAGAACAAATAATCCAATAAAAAACGGAGTACAGACCTAATCAGAGAACTGTCAACAGAGGAATCTAAAATGGCTGAAAGACACTTAAGGAAATGCTCAACATCCTTAGTCATCAGAGAAATGCAAATCAAAACAACTCTGAGATTCCATCTTACACCTGTAAGAATGGCCAAGATCAAAAACACTGATGACAACTTATATTGGAGAGGTAGTGGGGTAAAGGGAACACTCCTGCATTGCTGGTGGGAGTGCAAGCTGGTACAGCCAGCCCCTTTGGATATCAGTATGGCGATTTCTCAGAAAATTAGGAAACAACTTTCCTCAAGACCCAGCAATACCACTTGTGGATATATATCTAAAGAATGCTCCATCCTGCCACAAGGACATATGCTCAGCTATGTTCAGAACAGCATTGTTTGTCATAGCCAGAACCTGGAAACAACCTACATGCCCCTTGACTGAAGAATGGATAAGGAAAATGTGGTACATTTACACAGTGGAGTATTACACAGCAGGGAAAAATAACACCATCTTGAATTATACAAGAAAATTGATGGAGCTAGAAAACATCATTTTGAGTGAGGTAAATGAGACCCAGAAAGACAATTATCATATGTACTCACTCATAAGTGGTTTTTAAACATAAAACAAAAAAATATATAAATAAATGAAAACAAAACAGCCTACAAATCACAATCTCAAGAGAACCTAGACAACAATGAGGACCCTAAGAAAGAGATACATGCATCTAATCTACATGGGAAGTAGAAAAAGACAAGATCTCCTGAGCAATGTGGGTGCATGTGGATCATGGGAGAGGGCTGAAGAGGAGGGAGGAGAGACTGGGGCGGGAAGCAGAGAAAAAGGTAGAGTTCAATAAAATCAAATTTTTTTTAAAAAAAAAATTAGATATGAAATAAAGTCTTCTCTCTCGGCTTATTTAATACAGCAGTGAATCTCTTAGTCAAAGCAAAGATGGAACAAAAACAACAGACGTCACCAGATAGTTCCACTTGTTAACCATATGAACACATATGTAAAGGGCTGCAAAACTATCACTAGAAAATTCTTAGATCAGATAAACATTTTCAGTAACATAAAAGTATAGAAAACTAACATATAAAAACTAGATTTTCATCTCAAACTCTCTAAGAAAACAATCAGCAAAAAAATAAAAAAATAAAACTCCAGGAGTAAAATCACCAAGGAGGTGAAAGACTACACAATGACAACACAGAACAATGACTAAGAAATTTAAAATACTAGATGGATACCTTTCCAATGTTCATGCACTAGAAGAATTAACACTGAAAAATGGTCCTAATGCCAAAATGGGTTTACAGACTCAAAGGAATCCCCATCTAAACTCAAATGACATACTTCACTTTAGGTGGGCACACATGCACGCACACACACACAATCCCCAACAGTTAAAGTAATCCTTAGCAAAATAAGTAATGCCAGAGACAACGTAATTTCAAATTCCATTAAAGTAACAGTAACAAAATCAGCACAGTACTGTCACAAATGCAGACATGCAGATCAACGAAAAAGAGAACTCAGACCCAAGCAGCTTATTTTCTACTTAGGGTCTAAAAAAAAAAAAAATAAATAAATAAACCAAAACAAAATTAGGATATCCTTATGTAGTGCCTTCCATCCTTTATAAAAACCAATCAATAGGGACCAAATATATTAACATAAGATCTGAACTTTTGAACTACTGGCAATCAGGTAAGAAGCTTCAAAATACAAGAATGGGCAAGAGTTTCTGGAAAGAATCACAACAGTTCAGGAAAAAAACAGAATTGGCAAGCAGGAATACATCGAATTATAAAGTGTTCGCATAACAGTATATAGCAACCACAGTGAGATACAACTTAGATAATAGGGGAATATCGTTGCCAGGTACTTACAACATGGGCTAATGTTCAAAAACTATAACGGATTCAACTAACCACAAAGAAAAACCCAGAGGACAAATGGCAAATTAAATAAGAATCCCAAAACAAGTACAAGTCAACAAATTCATATGTTAAAAAAAAAATCAACATCTTTAACCATGAAGGAAATGCAAATCAAAACTACTTTTGGATTTGATCTCACTGCAGTTAGAATGGTTACCAAGCTAGGGGAAAGACAACATATACTGGCAAACATGGGAAGATAGAAGGAACCTTTATATTCTGTTGGTGGGGAAAAACCACATACATACATACACTGGTATGGTCAGTAGCGCAGTCAGAAAAGGGTCTTCTTAAAGTTAAGATTAATTACACTATTGTTGGTATATTAATGAGGGAATCAAAATGAATATGCAATAGATACAGTTGCATACCCCTGCTTATTATAGAAATAGGCATTCAAACTAGCCAAGTCATGTGACCTTACTTTCCATCAATGAATGACTAAAGAATGTAGCAAGCAACAAAGAAAAATGAAATAAAGGGTGACTATTTGGGATGAGAAGGAAGCCAGTAGGAAAAAGAGTAATTAGAGGTAGCAACTACAATAAAGTTATGTTATTACAAGTATGAAAATGTCAAACATCACTTTATATAAGCTGACGAAAAAGTTTCATGACATATACCAAACTGCGCTTTTCTCAGATAAAATTACTACAAATTATTATACAGTATTCTATTTCTGATATTTTAGTATATGAGACTGGTTAAGGGTTTTTCAGATTATAGTTTTAGATTTTATTTGAAATGAGTCATTCACTGAAGGTTGCTTTATACATATAAATGTTTTATGTGGTTTAAAAAGCCTAGTTTGCTTTTTGAAGAGCAGAATATAAAGGGGACATAGAGGACACTATGAGGTGGTAGCAATATTGTAAGGTGGACAGTGAAGATACAATTACTGAGGTATGATTAAGGGAATTTATGAAGAAATAAGAACAACCAGAAAAAAAGATCAACTGTAATGATTTTAAAAAGGTGTAACATTAATTTTGTCACAAGTATCATGAATTTTGTATCAGATACTAATTATACCTGGTTAGGTAAAACAAGTAAACAGCATCAATAATTTTCAAGATAATACTTTTCAAAGAAAACTATTTTATACATACCTTTAGAACATGGTGTCAAGGATTCAGAATAATTTATTGAAGATTGGTGTTGATTAGCCTCAAGCAGTGAACTGACAGTTTCTTTTTTCCCTAAATCCTGCAAGATTTTGCTAACAGGTATACTTCCTGCTATACAATTTTGGTTTAATGGAGAAAGAAACTGAGGACTTTTTGTCTTAAATGTAAATTTTGACACCCTCAATAACTTGTCATTCTGAGCTTGAGTTGCTGAGGTGATGTGGGATAGCTGATGAGTGCTCAACTTCATATTAGTAATTTCTGTGCTCCCAGGACCCAAATTAACATTCAAACTTGAACTTCCTGCAAGCATAAATTTTGAGCTATTCACCTGGACTGGTACATGTTGATTATCCCTTGAATTCTTAAAGCACACAGACATATTTGTTGTAGCATCCAAAATACTGGGATAAGCTCCACACATGTCTCTTTTTTCTACCTCCAACGATTTACGTATCTCTGAGTTAGTTGTTAGGGACGATGGTACCGAGGAACTGGTAAAATTCCAATGTTGTTTAGATGCAGTAGAAATATTTCTGGGTCCCTGTTTGGAAGTGTTATTTATACTTTCTGACTGCTTGCTGCCCTTGTTTTCTTGTTGAGTTAGTCTTTCAATGTCATCACATGCCTGATATAACAAATCATCATCTACATCATCCGCTTCCCAGGTAGTCTCGAACTCATGGCATGCTTCAATCATTTCACTGGCCACTAAAGGATCATTCCAGTCATCGAGGGAAGAACTGAACTTTGATCCATTAGTCTGGTTTGTGTTTTGATCCATTAGTCTGTTTTCTTTGCCCAAGAATACAGAACCAAGGGGAGCAGTATCAATGGGTGCTTTCAAAGGCAGGTTAACACTAAGCCCATTGCTTCGTTCATTAAGATATCTTGAGTATGAACCAGAACTATCAGAAGCACATTTAACTGCACACTTACTGCGACTATCTTCTTTTACTCGTGCCATATTAAAGACATCAACACAACCTTCATCTTTAATGTTACCCAAAGATTTCTCAAACCTCATTTTATTTCCAGTTAGTGGTAACTTGCTTGATTCATCCCTTGGATGTGATAAAAATCTATATCCTCCAGAACTTCCTAGTTCTCTGTTACATGGCTTTGAAGGAAGGTCCAGGGTTACTTTCGAATCTCCCGACTTTCGACCTAGATTCATATTTGCTCTTGATGTGATTGTATCATTTTTAGCAGTAATGGTACACACTGCATTCTGACTTGTAGCTTGGGCAGCTGTTGAAGGAGGGGATTGAAGCATTTCAGCATTTTCCATGAGGAAAGGTTCATTGCCTAGCAAGCTTTCCCAGTCATCCTCAAAATCATTAGTAGTCAGCCCACCAGGATGTTTAGTAGAAGCTTCTGGCTTCTTAGCACAGGGAGTCACACATGATTTTCTCAGTAAGGCAGTATCTACCTGAGGGGAAGGTGATATTGAAGTTCTGCTTGGCGGGTTTTCAGTGACCAGAGTTTCATTAGTACTAATTTCCTCTTCTATTGAACTGCTTTTCTTCACAAAGGTAGATTTGCTATTGTTCAGAAAAGAATTCGTCACACCTTGGCTTAGCTGTCCACTACACATCTGAGTGGAACCATCAAAAATAGCATTCAGGGCTGCTTCAACATTTTGGTCAAAGGGTTTCTGACTGCTGTCTTGCTCCTTTGCCACAGATATTCTGGTGTTTCCTTCCATTTGCTTATTCATTAGAGCACAATCGATTTCAGGAACTGTGTTATCTATTTCCATCTGTACAGAATCTTTACGGTGGTGTACATGTCCCACTTCTGAAGCTGCCTGGATAAAATCATGATTCTTTCCATCTTGCTCTTGAATCACATCAAGTTGCTCCATATTTTTATCAAACTGCTTAGCCAATTTCATGAGTTCTTTTTCTCGAGTTTTTGTTTTTAACCTATTAAAATATCATTGAAACATTTTAATTAAAAAAACTGTCTAAGAATTATTCAATTATCATTTAGTATATTTTGGTGTAACAAAACACCAAATGTTTAAGTCTCAGAAAAACATGTCTTTAAACTCTGGAATTTTACATATCAAATCAAAAAAGTTTACTAGTTTGGTTTATTCTAAAACCTATAATGCTAGTAAGTGGTGTGGGACTGTATTCTGTCAATTTATGTTTTAAATAAACGCTGATTTGCCAGTAGCAAGGCAGGAAGTATAGGCAGGACAACCAGACAGGAAGTAGAGGCAGACCAGGAAGCTCATTCTCCTCCACAGTCCTGTCCCAACCAGAGAAGAAGAGACGATTAATCCACAGAAAAAGGGACTGAGCCATGTGGCTAACATAGATAAGAATAATGGGCTAATATAAGTTATAAGAGTTAATAAGAAGCCTGGCAGTGGTGGCGCACGCCTTTAATCCCAGCACTCAGGAGGCAGAGGCAGGCTGATCTCTGTGAGTTCGAGACCAGTCTGGTCTACAAGAGCTAGTTCCAGGACAGGCTCCAAAGTCACAGAGAAACTGGTTCTCAGGGGGAGGGAGGGAGAGTCAATAAGAAGCCTGGGCTTATGGGCCAATCAGTTTATAACTAATGTAGACCTCTGTGTGATCTTCTTTGGGACTTACGAATGCAGGAACCAGGGAGGACAAAAACCTCAGTCAGCAAGTAAGGACATCTGCCTCATTGAATTAAAAGAAGGTGAAATCTGAACTCACTTTGTGCGGCAGGTTTTCACTCTTGACTTTTCTTTTGCTACGCTAGGAGTACAAGGAATAGCAGTGTCACCAATCCACACACCCAGCATGGAGTTTGTCACTGGTTTTTCGTCCTTTGAAAGAGGGAAGAAAAAGAACATAAGAGCACCACGAAGTAAGAGACTAACCCTTCTCCCCAAGAAAAAGGAAGGAGAGTGGAGAGTAGAGGGGCAAGAGAAGAATGTGATACCAGGCACTTAACAAACTCAAACAACGAGAACTGGAGAAAGGCTGGGAACGTGATCCATTTATGCTTCCACGAGAAAAAAAAGAAATATTCAAATTTTTATAAACATTCAAACCATATTTATAAAAACTAAGGTTTGATATACATTACCTATCAAAAGCATTTTGATGTCACATACATATAAAGGAACATTTTATAAAAGGGAATAACATTTCAGTTGTTGTAAGATACTCATAAAATCAGAACAAACTATGTACAACTATTAGAAATGAAAATAATAATATATCCAGAATTCTTTCTGTAGCAATGATTCTCCAATTTTTGTTTCTTATTCTCGCTAACTCTTTATCTAAGAACCAGAAGTTCCATCTTGACTTTAACTGAGCAGACAGAGTAATGTCAGGACTAGATATTTTAGAGCAAGGTCAAGGCTAAATCTAAGAATGGGGAGACAGACAACAAGACAAAAACAAAAAATTTAAAGTAAGAAGTGATCTTAGATTAGGATGTTTCTGCTGTATTTTTCTGTTCCTAAATCCCCAAAAAGCTATGCAATGAAAATTATATTATAAACTAGCAGTTCTCCATCTGTGGACTATAACGTCTGGCAAACCTCTAGCTCCAAAAACATTTATAATTTTATGGTTGGAGGTCACCACAACATGAGGAACTGTTTTAAATGATGCAGCATTAAAAAGGTTGAAAGCCACGGTTATACTTGATCTTACGGAGCACACGGTAAAAAGTTATATAAATGATGAAAACAAAGATATCACCTTAAACACCGCTTAAGTTATCACGACAGAAAATGGAACGACTGTCTAATATGCAAATGTATGTCTTAAAAAATGAAATCTGAAACCATTAGGAGGGAACTAAGTGATTTGAAGATAACTAAGAAAACCTCAAACATTTGTAATTATGAGGGTCTGACACCTGGAGATGAATTAACTAATCCCAGTGCAGTTTTCCATGACTCCAGTTACCATGGGGCACTGCTGCCATTTCTCCACAACAGCTGCTATTCCCAGCCCATCTCGTAAAGGATACTCAACATTACACCACTAGGCAGGCTGGCCGGCCCAAAAGTATTTTGTTGTGCTTCTTTGATTTAGTTAATGAAAATTTACTGCTGACATACGGAATAATATTATGGCATAAATGTACTTTTAAACAAAGTGTTGGTACAATGAATCATACCAAGATAGTGGAAGACCTGATTTCCTGCAAGCTGTCCTCTGACCTTCACACATGTTGTGGGCATGCATGCACACGCATGTACATACACACCTATGAGAGCACATATGCACACACATAGACACACTTTAGAAAATGTAGAAAGAAAATATTTAAGTAAGGAGAAGAAAGAATAGAAACTCAGAACAGTTGATGTTCTCAGCCATGCTGCTACTAACGACAGAACTAATACAAGGAATAACAGTTACTGGATTCCTTTGTGTTCCATGATTCACTAAAACTTCTATTTCATTAAAGCATCACAAAAATTAAAGTGAAGGAAAAAATCTTTGAAGATGGGTTTATTACAATAAATAAACCATAATTATTTATAGCACTCTATAGTTTATTATAAGTTTTATATAACTTAATCCTAATAATCCAATGAAGACAGCAAATCAGGTAATAATTCTTTGTGGCTGAATGAACTGAGGTTATGAGCATTTAGCTACTCGGAAGAGACTGTATGAGGCCTACACCTAAGCCCAGCGACTGCCCCAGTTTTAAAGCATTTCTTGGTGACTTTATAACTCAGTGGATACAAGTGAGAGCAACTGCAATGAGGAAAATCTGTACTATAGACAGTGGACAAGCAGTAACAACCAAAACTCAAATTTACATTGCTTGTTCTATTATACAACTGTTCAAAATACAATGCAGAAAATGCTGCATGGTGTTAAATATATTAAAGACAACAAGAGTAAAACGCTAGTCACTAATTACTACTCCAAGAGAATTAAAGCAAAATATCTACTTGCATGTGCAGGTTCTACATCTAACCAATGACAGACGAAAAATAGGAGAGAGATATAGGCATTTTCTTTGTTTTTCTTCCCTATCAGAACAGCATGACAATTAACTATATTACTTAAGGAATAAAGAAACTAGAGATGACTTAATGGGGTGGGCTGGAGGCATAGCTCATGGAAGAGCACTTGCCTAGCAGAAGTGAGTCCCTGGGTTTGAGCTCCAGCACTGCAAAAAAAATAAATAAAATAAATAAATACAGTACATGGGAGGATGTGCGCAGGTTAACACGCAAAACCACACCATTATCTGTAAGGAACTTCAGAATCTGCAAACCTGGGTATTCAGAATGGTCATGAAACCGTGCCTCATGGACACTAAGGGATGACAATACTATCCATTCTACAATTTGTCTCTTCTTTCAAGACACACACCCAGAAAGAGAAAAGCTAACAGCAACCTCTCTTGCTCTAAATACATTATTTCTAATGGGAAAGAGGACAAAAGCAAGCAGCAAACAAATTTGGCTGTTTTATAAACCAAGAAACGGCAGTCTTTACCTGAGGAGCAATACGGTTGACAATATGTGAAATTTCATCCGTGTATAGAGTGGGAATCTGCTTTTTTCTTCCTTTACCTAAAGAAACAGACATTTCTTTAAATCTTAGGCCAAGAATTTTAAAATCTATTGTTACCTTTTAGAAAACGATTGTAACCAGTGCAACTTACATTACAGTATATATAGTGACTCTGCACTAACATCACCTGCATATTAGAAAAATCACTCAAGAGTCTCAAGAACACAACAAAAAGTGCACTGTATCAAAGTTTCTGATGTTATCTAACTAAAATGTTACAAATACCAATCCTTCATCAAACACTTAACCACACAACAATCCCCTCCCCCCTTTTTCTTTAGAGACAGCCTTGGCTATCATGGAACTCGCTCTTGTAGACCAAGCTGACTTCGACCTCACAGAGATTCTCTTGTCTCTGCCTCCCGAGTGCTGGGAGTCAAGGCGAGTACCACCACCACCCAGCTTCCATACAACAATGATATCAGATTACCTAACTGTTTGGTCATTGGAGAATTCTGATCCCAGAAGATATCGGTATGTCCATCTGGATCATTAGGAGAACTGAAGGTATAGGATAATAAATCCACTTTCACAACTCTTGTTGGTGTCTCATACTTTTCTGCACAAAATGACAATTGTCCCGTTTTAAGCATTCACAAGAGCCAAAGTCAAACAGCAGCACAAATTATTTTTATGCCCAATATAAAACTTCTCTTCAAAACAACTATTTTAAACACAATAGAAATGTTTCACTAAAATTGATACTTCATAAATTTAACCTTGTAGTTAGTATTTTTTTTTTTAATTCCATAGGCCCAGGAATGATACCACCTGGTCACCGAGTTACTATCTCCATGGCTTCCCTACTTTACGAGCCTTCTTGCTGTTAGCAGATACACTGCCAACTATCCAGACAGAAACCCTAGTTAAACTCGTTTAAGCTCCATCTATCAAGTCTGCCCGAATTTTATACTCTAATTAACAACTCCAAAAAAACATGAGTGATCTGTTCCTACAGAATTTCTGTTTAGAATCACTTAAATTTTTACAATTGCATTGTTCCTTCTTGGATTTGTTTTGTCATAACAGAGGCAAACAAGATAACAGAAGTTTTATTTTAAGAACACACGCTAGGAAAGATTCTTATTAGGTTAGGAATCTTTAAAAAAAAAAAAAAATCTAACTCGAAAAGTTATCAGAAAGGAACGCTCCATTGGTTTACTATTCTAACCGGATGTTATTCCTAGCAAGTTCCGGAAACAAACGACAGCTTTGAGGTGACCCTTTTTGAAAAGCAAAACAATGCAAAAAAAGAAGGGAAAAAAAGAAAAGCTTAGCCGCCCAATTCCCCGGGGGTAGTTTAAGGCACAGGGTCCGCCCAGAACCAGAGTCAACCCGAAAACAGACACCGCCGCCCGGATCAGGGGCTCCGCTCTGCAGCCTAAGCCTCCCGCCCACTCCAAACCCCCGGAGCTGCTCTCCCTGCCCTCTCCGCACCCCACCCACACCCCGGGCTCGGCTCCCCGGCCGCCCTCTCCTCACTCCCGGGGCTCCTCCGGTCATCAGACGCCGCCTGGAGCTGCTCCCGCCGCAAAGGCCGAGCTCCTGCCTTGCAGGGTCGGGAGTCGCGGGCCGCCCTGGACCGCCGGGACCCCGGCTCCACCGCCGGGCAGCAGTCGTCGGCAGCCGCCCTGCGCGGCGTGCTCCTCCGGCCAGGGCTGTCCGCAAGCTTCCTTCGCCGACTCATTCCGGCGGCACCCTCCTCCTGCCACGTTCACATTTTGCAACGGAGGAACGGTGCAACGGCTCGGCACACCGCCTGAGCGCCAAAAGCCACCACCATCTTTGCAAGTAAGGCGCGCAAAAGACGCTGCCGTTGATTGGCTGCGTCCGACTAGGGCGGGGTTAATGAGCCTGACGCTGATTGGCTGCATCCGTATGACGGGCGGAGATATGGAGGCTGCCGCAGTGCTAGCGGCAAAGGCAGTCCCAGGTAGAAAGCTTTGCCTGGAGGTTTATCTTCATCCCTAACTAGCATAGGAGGAATTGCAGAACTCTGCTCTGGACAAGTGGTTGTGGGGTAGCATGTGAGGCAGTAATGCAGTGGCAGATTCTTGCTGAATTTACAACTTGTACTGGCCGCTTTTGGGTGTCAACTTGACACAAGCTAGAGTCATCAGAGGAAGGAGGAGGAAATGCCTCAATGAGATCCAGCTGTAAGGTCTCTTTTAGTGGTCGGTGGGGGAGAGCCCGTCCCCTGGTGGGTGGTTTTATGCCTGGGCTTTTGATCCTGCGTTCTCTAAGATGAGTTGGGCAACCTCAGGGGAACAAATCACTAAGCACCTTCAGTCCATGGGCTCTGCATCATCTCCTGACTCCAGGATCCTGCCCTGTTTGAGTTCCTGTCCTGACTTCCTTCAGTGATGAACAGCAATGTTGAAGTGTAAGCCAAATAAACCCTTTCTGCCCCAACTTGCTTTTTGGTCATGGTGTTTCGTTGCAGCAATAGAAATAAGGCACAACTTAAATTGCATATTTCCAAGATTCAATTGATAATATGTTATTCGATAATCTGAGAAAATAGGTGATGTGGTTTAGGAGGAATACAAATGACTGGGCATAGATGTGTGACTTACATAGGAAAATCCAAGACATGGGAAAAGTTACTAATTTAATTAACAGTTGTTGGAAACCGTACATGCAAAACAAAGCTGTCATCTAAGACTGTGTTTATTTTGAACCAAATAATCATTATGGCCAGGGAGCCTTGATTTAGGTTGCCCTGAAAAAAACATATTTCTACATGAAAGCATTTACACAATCTTTAACAGTTCATAGACCAAAACACAAAGGAAGCATTTCTCAGACACTTTGCTGGGGCCAACAGGAGATAGGTGGGTTAGAGCAAAACAAGGTATTAATTCTTCCACAGGCTTTAGGCAAGGAGAGTTGATAATATCCTCCCCTTTCGGTTGATGGAAGTTAGTGGTCTCCTAATAATGCATTGCAGATGTTTCACCTGATAGTCAACAGGCTGTTAAGCCTGACAGAGAGCTGGACAATTAGTGACTAATTAGGACACTAAAAATAGGCATAAAGATTATTTGGTTATATCTGCAGCATTCCAGTTTCCCTCATCACATTAAGACAGTGTTTTATGTAGCCCAGTGCATGCACCCTTTATATACTGCAACAAGGCCTTGAACTCCTGGTCTTCCTGCCTCATCCTTGCCAACACTAGGATCAACAGGTGCAGGCCCCTAAGAGGTCAGACAGTCAACGTTGTAGACTCGTCAACATAGCTATGGCCTTTTTCTTCCATTCCCACTACAAAGTGAAATTCAACTGCCAGTTGTCTTTTAATAGGTTAGTAATAAAGAAAATTTTAAGAGAATATGATTTGCAACAAATAGTGAATTTAAAGGGTGCCAGCTCTGCAGAGAGAACTAGAAGACACTTTGAAATAAATTGAAGACCAAAATAAACAAAGGTTATGCTGCATTCGTGGCTGAGGCACTTTAACAAGATCAGTTCTTCCCAGGTTTGTCTATAGTCAGTGTGACTCTCATAACAGGGTGCACGATGCATAAAGGGGGGATAACTTTAAGATATGTATGGGAATAAAAAAGGAGGAAAATAACCAAGAAACTCTTGGTCTCCTGAAGAATAGAAAAACTGGATAACACCCAAGTGTCATGACTTAGAGTAGTTAAGCGTTAGGATGGTCTTCTAGTGGTGAAGGGATGGACAAATAAATCATTGGGGTGGAATAATTAGCATCATGGTATTACCTTAACATCCAGGAGACACTGCTGCAGTCAGTGGTAAACCTGTTATGTTAAAGTCTGTTTTGTGAGCTTTTGGAGTCTGGGACTGTGGATGACCCCAAACTCGTTATTGTTTCTTGCCACCTGGGCTTTTGGCAGTCCTTGTACCTCCAGCTCTACGTTTAATGATGGTCCCTGTAATAACAGCTGAGTGGTTAACTGGAAATTTAAGTTTGACATTGGAGCTATAGAGAAGTTGGTAAAGCAGATAGAAGAGGAAGAGGGAGAGTGTATGTAGTTTGGGGCACAGGAGAATTGAGTATGGTGATGGGACTTTTATTCTTCTGAAACTGGTGAAAAAGTGGCTGATCTTGGTGTCCTCTGGAACTTAAGGGAGCAGGGCCCTGTTTGAGTTATCATATACAAGGGGGTATATTGAGCTGGAAGAGTAAAATGATTAAGGTGAGAGAGATGGATCCAAAAAGGGAGTACCTCAAGCTTGACAGCTTATGGGAGTTACAAGAATTACTTTAAAGGACCCTTGCCATTTAGGGGAAAGTATTGAGAGGCATTGGTCTAGGGGGAGAGTAGTACCTCATCTCCTATTTTAATTGGCAGTGGGCATAGATTGGCACATGGTTGAGGTAATGAGTAGTCGGTGAAATCCCATAATAGGGAATGAAGACAGGCTAACAGTGGAGAAGGCAGATGATAAGGAAGAGGAGAGGTTCAGGTGAGAGGCAGGAGGTTAAGACTGTCCACCCATACATGAGTTCAGAGGGGGAGATAGAAAGAGGGCTGTTGGGGAGAGCCCTACTCCTAAGAAGGACCAGAGGCAAGAGTTTTACCCAGTCAAGGTGAAGCGCCTGTGACATTTTAACAAGAACATCTTTTAAGGAATGGTTAGTTTGTTCTACCTTCCCTGAAGACTAAAAATGGTATGGGATATGAAAATGCCAAGGAATGTTAAGAGCCTTAGATAAAGTTTGAGAGATCTGGGAGGTAAACTCTGGGCCATTATCCGACGAAGAGAGGTTAGGATTCCAAACCAGGGAATGATTTCTCACAGAAGACCATCAGAAACTGTCTGGGCCCTCTTGTTAGTGGTGGGGAATGCTTCAATATACCCAGACATGGTGTCCACCAAAACCAGGAAGTATTTAACTAGTCTACCTGTGGGCATATGAGTAAAATCAAGCTACCAGTCAGTTTCTGGAAGGGAACCACTGGCCTGGTGGGAGGGAAAGGGGAAGCTATAATATTTGGTCTTGGGATGTGACTTGACAGATTTTACAAGAGGCAGTGATAACTTCTAAGAACTCTATGTCCCTCTATGTCTATGAGGGTTGGGTTGAAGGTGAGCCTTGATAAAACAAGAAGGAGATTTCCTATTAAGATGAAAGAGCTGATGTAGGTAGGACAGAATGTGCTGGGTGTCAGTGGATGTCTACAAGGATACCGGCTGTACTGTCTGGACCTTCTGAGGTGACTGAGATCTGGAATGCTGCTGTTCTAGCTGCTTGGTCAGCCCAGTTATTTCCCTTGGAAATAATGGAGCTGTCAGTCTGATGAGACCAACAGTGAATAATTCCTATAGCCTTGGGAAGATGGGAGGCTTTTTAACAAGTTCACGACGTAACCTGAGTTAGTTGACAAATGGATGTTAAGGTAATACCATGATGCTAAAGCGAACAAGTGCCTTAAGATTTGCTTCAGGTAAAACACTGAGGGGTCTACTAATTTCCCTTTTTAATAACTCCCTTTTTTTTCTCTTCCCTACTCCCTACCATCTTCTATTCCAACACTATACTATCATAATCATAAGCTTTTAATATGTTTAAAATTTATTTCTTTTTAAACATTTTCTTTTCATAAGCTCCAGGGAGCCAATTGGACCTATCTAAACAGACCAGACTTGCCCAGAATAAGTATCATTTAATTTATCATTTAATTCTTCCCTTATCATTCCTGGTCTCGGGAACCCCTGGGAAATTCCCTCCTCCACCCCCCCAAAAAAATCCCTCCATCTTCCATCTTGGGACTCTCCTCCCTCAATCACCAGGATCTAAAATTTTTCCAGGCATAATTTTCTGCCTTCCCAGCATCTTGCAAGATCCAAGCTGCCAGCCAGCCAGTTCCACTGAGCCGGGAAAAAGATAACACACACACACACACACACACACACACACACACACACACACACACACACACAAAAGTAATCAGCCACCCTAGGACATGGTCAAGCACCTCAGCTCTCCAACACCCATAAAATCAGCAGGAAGCAGTTACCAGAGACCTGATGACGCCCCATTCCCATCCACTAAAGACCCCAAATTCCCAAAATTTTCATAATAAACAAAAGGGTGGAATGTTATGATTTTAGCCAACCAGCATGGCTGGCACATCCAGGTTCCAGGGCCATGCATGTGCAGACAAACCCTCAGGCAAAAACCTAGCCACCCCGGGAACCTTAAAAGACCCTGAGACCCATGTGCAGCATGGTTGCATCATCTGCGTATGGTGCAGCTAAGTAAGCCCTTGTGCGCATGTGTGAGCTCCATCGTCTGTGTATGATGTAGCTATATCACCGCCTGTGTGCATGTATTAGGCAGCCTTTAAAAGCTGGATGTGCCATCTTTATCCCTCCCTTTCTGCATACCAACAGCACCAGGCCTGTACACGTTTCCTCTAATAAACTCCTAAGTGGGTTTGTTTTGTGTTTCATGTTTCTTTCTCAATTGTGCCAGGTAATTTCAGAGTCTAGCTGGAAGAAGCTGGCTGCAGGAGGATGGGCTTTGAAGCTTATACCTCTGCCCCTCCTCCAGCCAGTCTCTCTGTGTCCTTTGCTCTGTGTGATATCCCCAAAGCCACATGCTACCCATGCTAGGAGCAGGGGCCAAATCTGCAATACCATCCCTGTCTGGTACTCTCAAACTATGAGCCCAAATCATTCCCTCCTCTCTCATTCCTTTCAGATATTGTTGACAATGATGAGAAAAGCCATTAACACAGTAACTTTTGGAAGGGAGAAAACGACAGTGCTTGCAAAACAAGTCTTGGAGACTTGTTGTCTTCACTTTACTGTCAGAAAAATGA